ACTTAAAACAAACTTTTTTATTGAATATATATCTATTCAAAAATCAAATAAAAAAAATTTTGAAAAATTGTAAAAATGGGCTGTTTTAATAGATCACACCCCAGATATGTTACTCAACAAAATGCAGATCATTTTTTGAACAGCCAATCAGAATCAAGATTTTGTATACGAACGCCAAAATCAAATTGAACCATCCCTTATGCTCCTTAGTAGTCTCAGTATTAATGGTTGCTCCAGGTAATGAAAACCTATTTATATTTGAAATTTTTTGAATAATGCTAACAATTCTATTTTCTTAAAGGAGAAAAAATTTATAAAATAGAGCCAACAAAAGGAATTACAGATCCTTTAAAATTTTCTCATAAATTCCCAAATATAACTTTAATTCAAGATGATGAAGTGTTTAATGCTTCTGTAGTTACTGTTGGAGCTCTTGGTGTGACTTATGAAGTCACTATCTCAACAATTCCCTTGTTCAACATTATAGAAAGAAGGGAAGAAACTACTTGGACACATGCTAAATCTATCTTAAAACAGATGCCATATTCCACAAACCCTTATTTGAAATCCCGTAATGTTGAAGTTTGGATAAGCCCCTATACAGATTATGCTTTGATTACTTTGAGAGATTTGGCAACAGATGATGATGTAAAAAAACATCCGAAGCCAGAGGCCACACAACTGTTTCAAGAATTTATTGAACTGCCTGTTGTGAAAGAAGTAGCAAAACATTTGAGTATTAAAACAGGTGGAGCTTTATTTTTGTTATTGCACCTGTTTCCAGCCATAGTACCATCAATCGATGAAGAAGCCTTGAGGCTTCAATATCATAAGGATCCTGTTGTTGATAGTTACGAATTAATTTATAACCCTTTCGGTACTGGTAGGTTAAAATGAAAATTCGTTAAAGACTTTGTTAAATTTATTTTATTTCGTTTATTCATTTATTACCTTTATTTAAAAAAGGGCTTGTTAATGATTTTAAAGTGATTTCAGTTGAATTTTCATTTTCAACGAAGAATGATAACCATATATTAGCAACCGACGCAATTTTGAGAACACTTAAAACAATGAGAGATAAAAATCCCAATTTAACCATCCATGGGCCAGCTTCCATGAGATTTTCTGCTGCTTCTTCACAATATCTTTCTATGGGGAATGGAAAAGGCGATGAAACTAGAGCATATTTGGAAATGATTATTTTAGTATACGTATGCATTACTAAATGTTCGAAATTATCAGTTTTTTTTTTTTTTTTCTGCTCTCTAATTTTTTTTTTTTTTTTTTATGAAAAAATAGGACGTTTGGCTTGATCATTATGAACATGTGTTTGATCCATTGACTGAAACCGCATTGAAATATAATGCAAGGTGCCATTGGGGGCAATACTTTTCTTCTAAACTTGATCATAAATACCTGGTGAATGCTTATGGAGCTCAAAACGTTATTTCATTTCTTGAACAGCTTAAAAAATTTGATCCAAATGGTACAATGAGTAACACTTTGTTAAAAAAGTTAGGATTGACACCCGACGGAAAGGTCACAGATTATGGAATTTTGGAAACTGTAGGCGACATGGTTAAAGATGGATTAGATGAGTTTCACAAAATGCTATCAAATGTCGTAAATTTAGTTCATTTAATTTAGTTAGTCGATTAAGTTTAATCTCAAACATATGTATACACTATTTTATAAATATAATTAAAAATATTTCTAGTATTTTAAGATTAACTACAAATAAGATATAATATTATAAAAATAATTATTTTTGCAATTAACATTCTATAGAAAAATAATAAAGAATTAGATATTAGCAATAAAAGATTATATGAAGTATATTACATATTTTTCAAAAGCATACGTAGAAGAAACTCGTATCCGATAGATTCCGAAATCACGGTTACACAAGTTATTTATATGGGCAATTGAAAAATTGATA